ATGATCATTAAAGGAACTTATTTTGAAAAATTTTGTCTTAGAACTAAAAGAGAACTGAGAGCTTATTGCTGCAGCCTCATTTGTCCTCAGCATCAAAACTTACTTACATTTAGACAAAGTATAAATAATGCAACACAGCTGCTTAAGATGTTCAAATATCTTCAACAGCAACTGTCACAGAGTTTCTGTGTAACATTAGGGACCAAGTACATACCTGGAAGATTTGTTTTTGTGTACGGAACTGCAATGTTCCGATTCAAGGCTGCATCAGCACATCCCAACAATATCCTGCAGGATGCTTTTAATTTGATCATGATTTCATCTTGATAATGGAAAGCAAATGTTGATTTAAAGTCAGTTTGACTATTTGCTGATGAGTACAAAGCAACTTGTTTATGATTTCAATAGGTTAAGCTGGAGGTTAAACCCCAAAATTACGTGGAGAGTGTTTCAAATTACCATAAACTACTCCAGTGTACTATATAGAAAATTTGATATGTCAATTTTATTTTCTATTCATTTGTGGGACATGGGCGTCGCTAGCTGGCCAGCATTTCTTGCCCATCCCTAGTTGCCCTTGAGAAGGTGGTGGTGATCTGCCTTCTTGAACCGTTGTAGTCCACCTGCTATGGGTTGACCCACAATGCTATTAGGGAGGGAATTCCAGGATTTTGACCCAGCGACAGTGAAGGAACGGGGATATATTTCCAAGTCAGGATGGTGAGTGGCTTGGAGGGGAACTTGAAGGTGGTGGTTTTCCCATATGTGTGCTGCCCTTGTCCTTCTAGATGGAAGTGGTCATGGGTTTAGAAGGTGCTGTCTGAGGATCTTTGGTGAATTTCTGCAGCGCATCTTGTAGATAGTACACACTGCTGCTACTGAGCGTCGGTGGTGGAGGGAGTGAATGTTTGTGGATATACAATCATGTGGGCTGTTTTGTCTTGGATGGTGTCAAACTTTTTGAGTATTGTTGGGACTGTACTCATCCAGGCAAGTGGGGAGTATTCCATCACACTCCTGATTTGTGCCGTGTAGATGGTGGGCAAGCTTTGAGGAGTCAGGAGGTGAGTTACTCGCCACAGTATTCCTAGCTTCTGGCCTGCTCTTGTAGTCACTGCGTTTATGTGGTGAGTCCAGTTGAGTTTCTGGTCAATGATAACCCCCAGGATGTTGATAGTGACAAATGACCTGTTCTCACACTTGGCTGGGAAAAGGTTGGTGACAAAGGCAAAATTTGAAGAATGCAGCCTCAGTAGAACCATCATACAGTACTTTAAAGTTCTGCAAATATATTTTTGTTAAAAAATGACAATAAAAATCCTGGAGACTGGAATACTGATGTAACACTGATGTATTTTTTTGTGCTTGTGTCTCTGTTTCTTCACTTTTTCAATGCAGTGCCTGTTCTCTGTCAAAAAGTTGAGAATGTTTTTGATTGATGTCTTAATCTTTAGAGCCTTACAAGGTTGGTGAACAAGTACTGGGAAATACAGTTCCAATATGAACACATCTAATTTCATTATTTTTAGGAGAACACAGAGCACTATTATACAATGGCACAAGCACAATTAAAATCTTTTGGTCTCTCAGACTTGTAGAGCAGCAGTGATGCTAATTATCTATCACTGTAGAACATTGAAAGCGGTTATTTAAGATAAAGATAAAACATTTTAGTTTAGTACATTGCAGGGGCTATGTACTCCCAAAGAATAGAATACAGCTAGCACACATTATTCAAATCAACACTTCCTTTATGTATTATTCAAAACAATTTATAACAGAAGTGCAATGGTATTTTTGTCAGTTTGAAAGTATTATAAACTTACCACATCGAATCATCATAACAGAGCCAGCTCACTTATACTCATAATGCTGAAGTCCTGATCTATAAGGACACTTGAAAGATGTAATAGAGACAAGCGAAGTGTTTTCACAAGGTGAGGAAATAAATTCCAAGGGGCAAAGTCAACTTGAGTTGTACCTAAACATGCAATGGTTCTTCCTCCTGTTTCCACACTGTTACTTCTGCAATCCCCCAGGATCTACCCTCAGCCCCGTTTGACTTCCCATTGATGTGCTGTCCTTGCACAATCATCGAAAAGCACAATGTTAGTTTTCACATGGACGTTGACAACAACTTGTCACCACCTCTCCCAACTCAAATATGATTGTTTTCGTGCACATAGCATTTGGTAGTGTCTAGTCAGTTCTTGACATTTGCCACCTCATGGACCAGATATAAAGTTTTCATTTGCGAAATGAAATATTGACAACCAATCACCCCCTCCAGTCACATTTTCTCCAGACATAGTACCATTGTTAAGACCTGTCCTCCTGCCCCAGGCTTGTCTGAAAAGAGACATCTAGTAGGAACATAAGTGAACTTAAAAGTAAAAGTGATCTTCATTATAATTGCTTTGTGTCTTGCTTGTAAGATCCAAAAGTAGTGGTGACTTATATAAGACCTGCAATTAAAAAAAAAATTCCTTCCATGTTCTAGTTGCTTTTTCAGGTCTGGGGTTTACCACCTTCTACTTAGCTGGAAAATTGCACTGCTTCACGGATATTGGTCAAGGAAAAAGTTGGAGACTGTGTGCAGCTATCCTCCCTTTGTACTGTGCTGTGATGATTGCCTTGTCGAGGACTTGTGATTACAAACATCACTGGCAAGGTGAGCTGAGCTGGTTGTCAAAGTTCCCCTGTAAAAATATTGCTTTGGTTGTAATTGCCTCTATGAAGAGGGTAATTTCAGAGTGAACGTTTTATTATGTTACTCTTATATGTGACTTGCAAGCCTTGTGTGTTGAGACTTAATGATCGAATGATTCAATGTTTGCATTGGTTTTATCCACATTCATGCTTTGCTTATTTCACAAAACAAGGAAAGGGAGAGGAAACTTGAGTTGGCAAGCCAGCTGGTGTAAAAATATTCAGTCAATATCGTTTGTTCATCATTATTCACATGAAAAATTGCACTCACTTTAAAACGCACCAGTCCTGACCTTTCTCGAGGAAAGCTCATTGATCAGCCACTGTTGGGTAGTGAGGCACATCTCAGCAATTTCATTGCTGAAAGAGGGAATCAATTCATTCTGGTCTACACTGTACACACCAAGGTGTTTGCAATTCACAACAAAACACAGTGAGATGACAAAGGGTTTCCAAGTTTTTGACATGAGTGGTCACTTAGATCCTGAAGATATCGGAAGACTGAACCCACAACGGACAAAGATGCATTGTTTGACTGCCTTAACCTATGCTCTCATTCACTTACCAGCTACAATATGGAAGAACTAGTCATTCATTCCACTCGTGGTTGTTTGCTATGCACAAAATACTCACATGTGCCACAGTTGTTGAGTACCAGAGATGGATGACATTAGAAAGAGTTCACCAGTCACACGGGAAAAATGGGAGTGCCAGTTTCAATTTGAAACTGCCGAGCTCATTGTTGAGTCCAGAAGGCTCTTATGCACCAAATGAAAAGATAAGTTTATGTTTTGTTTTACAGGAGCAGTATAGATAGGAGGTCAAGGAAATAGAGATCTCAGTACTTGTAAATTTTTTTTGTGATGGAGGAAGATATTTTTCTAAGGTCACTGAGTTCAGAATCAAAGAGAAACATGGGACCAAATATGTGAAATTTCTCTTAAGGAAACCTAATATGGAGAAACAAGTAGAATGTATGATCATTGTCTGTTACTTGATTCTCAGGAAGGACACCCTATGGCAATATTCTCCTAAATCATAAAAGCTAGAAATTACATTGTGCAAATACTCAAAGGTATGTAACACATTTGTACTTTACCAGAATTATTAACCTTTTTCTTTTAAATACCACAATCAAAGTGACAGAGAGAAGTTGGTCCAGATTTGGCTGTCAGTAACAGCACTCATCCCGACCTCAAAAAAAGCTACACACAAAGATCTAGCAATCTTTGTGCTAAGGATTCACCTTTTCCAGAGTTAATTTGAATCCAGCAGCAGATCAAGGGCATCACCAGGCATCCAGCAACAGTGATGTCATTAGGCAGGGGACTTAGTCAATTACATTGAAGTATTATCACAGAAGCAAATGTGAGCTCAAATGCACTGATTAGCCTTTGCCACTTCTAAATTTTATAGAGTGACATAAAGCTTGAGACATATACGTGGGATTAGAGCAGTAGTTGAAATATCATCAACACATTGAAAAAAATCATTTTTGCAACGCTTTTTACCATCGAGGAAAGATTTGACTTGACACAAACGTAAAATTAATTTTCTAGGGTCAGAGAAAATTTCAGGGGTAGTTATGGATTAATAAGCAAACAAAGATACAGTTGCACTGCACTGGTGAGGGGTGATATTTAATGCCCTGCCTTGTGGCGGGTTCACTGCTGAAGGGGCATTTAATCAGGCAAGAGGGTGGCAAGAGGACCCACTGCCTTGCGTTTGCCCTGATTATGTCTGTGGTGAGAAGGCTGTGTTGGGCTCATCACTATCCAGTTGAGGCCTGGTTGGTATCTTAGTCAACAGGCAGTCCTGTAAAGAGGTGAAAAGAGGTCTTTATAGACAGCAGGTAAGACTCCCATCAGCTAATTTAAACTTCACCCAAAATGTAGCTTTGTACTGGGACGGGGTTGAACATGAGTATTACAGTGTAAAAGGGAATGTTCATGTTTGTTCAGTGATTCTAAAAACTGTTTGCTGCTGGGACTACCATGGTGCCTGGGAACAGGGAATCACTGATAGCAATTTCTGAATTTCTGTGTTTAACTGGGGTGGCATAGTGGCTCAGTGGTTAGCACTAGCACCGGGGACCGGGGTTTGATTCCACTCTTGGGCAACTGTGTGTGTGTGTGGAGTTTGCACATTCTCCCCATGTCTGCGTGGCCATTTAGCATGGCCATTGCAAAGATGAGCAGGTTTGAGGGACTGGCCATGCTAAACTGCCCATTGTGTTCAGAGATGTGCAGGCTGAGTGGATTAGCCATGGGAAATGCAGGGTGGTGGGTCTGGGTTGGATGCTGTTTGGAGGGTCAGTGTGGGCTGGATGGCCTGCTTCCACACTGTAGGGATCCTATGATTTTATGAACTGTACATGTGAAGACAACATGTGCCACTCTGAGTTTTACGCAGTCATGTTGGAAAACACCAACAGTTTCTTCGCCTTTATAATCGCAAAATGCCGGCCAATGATGTAGTGTAGAAGCATGGAGGCTTACATTCATGAGGAGATACCTTGTATGTGATAGATCATTTCCAGATTAACACCTGACTAATCGTGCCATCATGTCATCTCTCCATAACCCTCTTAACTTCCACTGTTTGAAATGTGCATCTACCATAAAAGTTTCAGTGGTTATTTCCTCAGCTACTCCCTGTGGTAAAGAATTCTCCCATATTGCACAGACTAATCTCAATGGTGGGTCTGCTGAGTAATGCAAGAACGTAAAAAAATGCTAATTTTGCAAACAATGGGAGAGAGACACCACTACCATCGCCGTCCCTTAAGTAAAATCTAAGACTAAAAGGGATCTTACATTTAAGATAGACATGAGAATTATTTTTCTCCCTGTCAGAGAGTTGTGACTCTTTGAAACTCACTTCCCCAGAATCTGGATGAGGCAGGCTCATTGAATACTTTAAGGCAGAGGCAGTTTCTTGACTGACAAGGGAGTCAAAGGTTATTGGGGACAGGCTGGAGTGTGGGCTTGAGGCTGCAATCTGATCAGCCACAACTTTATTGTATATCTGAGTAGCTTTGAAGGGCTGAATGGCCTACTCCTGCTCCAAATTTGTATGTTCACATAACACATTCATGAAACGCGGTACTCCAAATCCGCAAAAAGAATTGGATTTTCGCTCTGAGTTTGATGTTTGATTTTTTTTCTAGTGTGGGCTCTTCAGTGCTAATGCAAGCTCAGGCCAAACCTCTTAGAGATTGATAAACTCTATTTCTTTTGTTTCACACTACATAATGGATGGCTGAGGAGCAAGAGGCCCTGAGCTGTGCAGGGTTCAATCCAATACACAAATATGATCACTGAGATCACAGGAACAATAATGTACCTCCACAACCCATTCACATATTCATCAGAGCCTATCACCATTGTGAGGACCTTGATCTTCGGTTTATTTCCAGGTCCAAGCCACAAACAGCGCCAGCATGATGTGCCTGGTGTTGTTTTTAAAACAGATGGACAATGAGTGAGCAGAGAGCGTCCAGGCACCCTGGTGGACAGAGGGCAGCTCCCAAGTTTTGAGGGCCAACAGAAGGGCCTAGAGCATTGAGAGAGTGGCAATGCCACTGTCAGATCCAGGCAAAAGAAGCAGGGCACCAGAAAATGAAAGATCTCCCCTCCACCACCACCCCCACCCACTCAAAGTTAACCCTGGTAACATATATTCAATAAAAACTGGCAACATCTGCAAGAGCACCATTGTGAGAGCTGGTGACTTTTAAAAAGGACTACCCCCCTCTCCCTGCCCACTCTAATGGCAGGACGCCCTCTCAACTTGAGCAGCCTCAACTGACTTGTCCCAAGTTTTGCCAAATTGGCAAACTGTGGACCAGCCCAGCATTGGTCCTGTGTCCTCCAGAGATAGCGAAGCCTGCCGAGAGTGATCACTGATGAGTTTCAGGATTAAGGGGATTCTTTCTCAGGATCATTATTTCAAGGAAAGGGCTGTTAGAACAAGATGAATATGAAATGCAAAAACAGTACAAGTACTGAACACTCTCAGCATGACATCAATCACTGTTGGGAAGCTTGAAATGAGCTTTTGTACCTGTCATTTGCACAATTTGAATAATGTTTTCAGAAGCTAAGTAATGAATTCTGCCACATTTAAATCAGATCAGATGAGAATCTTGTCCCTTTCAAAATACATCTTAGTTAGACAGAGTCCTATTGTCAGAATCTGGTCTTAATCTGCTTCCAGTTTATGATAGTTATATCTGCTCCAATTGGAAATCATTCCCCAGGATGGGTTTTGTAAGACCTGGTAACAATTTTACTCCATCTGAGATGCATGATGGAGTGAGCATCTCAGAAACACTGAACTCATCAATTCACAGTGTCATGGCTCAGTGGTTAGTGCTGCTGCCTCACAGGACCAGGGATCTAGGTTCAATTCCAGCCTTGGGTGACTGTCTGTATGGAATTTACACATTCTCCCAGTATCTGTGTGCGTTTCCTCCAGGTGCTCTGCTTTCCTCCCACAGTCCAAAGATAGAGTCATACAGCATGGAAACAGACCCTTTGGTCTCACCAGTCCATGCCAAACTAAACTAGTCCCACCTGCATGCTCCTGGCCCATATCCCTCCAAACCTTTCCTATTCATGTACCTATCCAAATGTTGTAATTGTACCCACATCCACCACTTCCTCAGGAAGTTCATTCCACACGTGAACCAGCCTATATCCATTGGAGTTTAGAAGAATGAGAGGTGTTCTTATTGAAACATATAAGATCTTGGGGATATTGAATAGGGTGGATGCCTGTCATTTGCAAAATGTTAAAGATCTATTCACTATGTTCTCGGGAGGACAGATATTTTCAAAATTATATCTGACAAATGTCTATCTGCAGCTTGAATTAGATGATGAGTCAAAGTTATACTTGACTATTAGCATTCACCTCAGTCAATTTCAGCTTTAATAACTGCAGTTTGGCATCCCTTCA